CCTGCCCCTGCCCCGTGCTGCCTCGCCTTGTCCTGCAGAACGGTGGGTCCGCACTCACCACTCGAACAGCTGTGTGTGCGACTCGCGACTGTTGTGGTGTGGTGCACATGGAATTTTGCAGAACGCGCACGAGAAGAAAGTCTCGCAAAGAGGTGTGTCGAAGAGTCGTTTGACATTTCCAGCAGGCAAGGCTGATTGCTGTTCCATCACCATCATCGCCATCATCCACCCCTTTCAAGCAGCTCTTGCCCTCACACTCACTCTCTGCACACAACACGATCATTTCACAATGGCTCTCAGCGCTCACGAACTGCCCAAGGCTCTCGGTGAGAATGGCGGAGCTGCTTCAGACGTCTGAGTCGCACCGACATTCTTGCTGACATCCTGCGCGACTCTTTTTCTCTCTCTCTCTTGACCACAGAGCCCAAGTATGAATCCTTGAAAAAGGAGTTCAGTGAAGTGGATGCTGAGCTTCGTGAGTCGAAAGGCCAGGCCACTCCCCATCCTCTTGAGCAGTCTAGACGTGCATACTCAAAAGCCGCTGGCCTGACTCCACTTTCTCGCGACAGAGAGGCAAGCAAACAAACTGCAAAAGCCCTTGTACGAGAAGCGCGATGCTATCATCGCCGAGATTGAAAAGTTTTGGCCCAACGCTGTATGTAAATCCATCCTTGCTGGTGTTGTGCTGGACGTGCCGATATCCAGTCTGACCAATTCCGACGCCCCTTCTTCCTTCGACAGCTGCAAAATTGCCCCCACGTCTCCTCCTACTTCCACGACGAGGACAATGCAGTGTTCGAGCACCTGACGGGCATTTCGGTCACTCAATCCGACAAAGACCCTCGCGAGTCATCCGTCACCTTCAAATTTGCCGACAACGACTTTTTCGGGAACAAGGAGCTCACCAAAACATTCACAGTCAAGAAGAATGCTCCTCCTCTCGGATCCAATTCTAGCGCTTGGCAAGAGGATGTGCAGACGGAAGCCACAAAGATCGATTGGAAGAGCGACGAGAAGAACTTGAGCAAAAAGTTCCCGCTCGTGAACGAGGAGCAGGTCCTCGAGACTGGATCCTTCTTTGCTTGCTTCTTCGAGGCACCTCAGAACCCTGTTCCCGTAAGTCTCGACGAGCACGTATAAAGCCGGTAGGGCAGCTACGGGTGGATTGACAATCGGGTTGCACTTGCCCTCTCTCTGCCATGCAGATCGCGATCGGTGATGGCATCATCAACGTCTTTTGGCCCAACGCATTCAGTTTCTACACTGGAGAGGTTGAGGACATCCTGTGAGTAGCTGCTTCTCTCAGCTGGCAAATCGGGGCGGGGGAAAAGCATGCACACAGTGCGTGCAGGCCTGATACTCATTCAATTTGATTGCGCCTCGCAAAGCGGCGATCTGGACGAGATAGAGGACTTTGACGATGAGGATGAGGATGATGATGACGAGGATGATGATGATGACGACAAGGAGATTGATCTTGAAGCAGAGGAGAGGTCGAGGAAGAAGCCCAAGCACGAAGCATGATCGCAGCTCTGCTCGGTTATGCCAAACGTCTCATCCGCTCCCTGTTTCGCCGCACCAATAATATCCCTTCGCCTCTGCTGCACTTTGTGTCAAGGCCAGACTTTTTTGCATAGCTCGTGAGGTCTGCATGTCCAGCAACGCGAGCGCGCATTCCGATCGCGCAAGGCATGCCGAGCGCCTGAACA